ATTTCCTTGTTGCAACCTTTATGGCACCAGCATGTGCCTTTACAAATGAATCTGCTAACATGGGAAAAGAATCGATGGAATTTGGCGGCAGATTATGATACCAAATCATCGCTCACTTCGAAAGGGTCTCCCCGAACTTTTTCAACAATACGGATTCGATCTCATCGTCTTCCAAATCGTTACCCCTGATGGCACATGTGTAAGAGGTGACGTGCTCGTTAGGATCGGTCGTACCGTTATATTTGGGAATTTTGGGCATACGAAATTTTTCGGGGATTGGTTTTGGGGCCGCACTCGAGGGAAAAGGCTTTTGTATGAATTGTTTTGAATCCAGCCCTTTTATCATTGGTGGAGCTCCCGGGATCTGATCGACCCTGGCATTATATGTTTCACTCTCTTATCGTTGGTTTCGACTCGTTTTGTGTGTTTCTCGAGCAATTTAGTAATTTCGGGAGTGGTCCCCGATTCTTGCTCGTTTGATTTCACTATGGCGGGCTCCGTTCTGGGGGTGATTTCTCGAAGCGGACCGGGATCTGGCCTGCTTTATATATGAGTTTGGCTCTGCAACTGAGCTATCGCTACTTGTTGGGCTTGTAACATCTCGAAGATCATGCGCAAGCTGACTCCGATTTTCCCCACGTTATGGGTGTCTCGAGCTACTGATCGAGTACCGCCCTGAATGCTTTTTTCCGGTTCGGAACGTTGGTTCGCTTCAAGAGCCACTTGCGAATTGACATCTAACGGTACTTCGGCTCGAATTTTGGGTACTTCGATTCGAGCCTCAGTGCCATCGTCTAGCATCCTTCAGGCCCCGGGTACCAAGTTATTGGTCTCATCTTGAAGGCCGACTTTGTGGTCGATAGGTAAAGCCATTGCTGATTCGAAGTTGTAAACTAGTGTGTACTGCGGATTTATATCAAACAATCACTATTATCCATAGCCCCACGGTAGGCGCCAAACTGTTTACCTGAAAAATAAAATAACGTTAAATTTGTGTATGGTTCTAAGGATATGTGATACAATTTGATACAAATCGTATAGAAAAATAGAAATATTTGTGTTCTTGGCTATGAGAATAAGAATAGTGAGCAAAAGAATGAATAAGGTAAAATAAAACAAGCATGAGGAGATATCTTTCAATATGAGAAGTGATCTTTTTGTTACAATGTATTCTGCCTCTCTGTATGCTTACAAGGATTCCCCCTTTATAATAGAGGGATCCTACTTTATTTATAATAAAATAAAGCATATAGTGGAGGACCCATGATGAATTATTTTTTTCTCGATTCCTGCCAAGATTCTCTCTCTTAGTGCGGTTGTAACGACTCTTGTTTGTGAGCTTGACACTGGCTCAAACTTGTTATTGGGTCGAGCCCTCGGTTTTGGCTTGAGTTCGACCTCCGGGGTGGGCATAGCGCATTCCTGACCTCGAAGCAATGCCTTGTGGATCGATTTGGTCACGGGCTCAATAAAAGTATCGAGCCGACTCCTCGATCAGCCTTCGGACTCGAGGCTCATTTGTACTGCCTTCGGAACTCATCCCAAAATCCCACTCCGGTTGCTTATCATTCGAACTCGATCGAACATAGGAAGATCGAAATCTATTTCGACCGTATACAAACTTATCTCAACTGTCAAGTATGCAATACGAGAATATTTTGTTATGTTCCAATATATTTTGCAGGATCTGCATTAAGTAGTCCTATAACAAATTAACCATGTTATGTCTGTTATGCACGCGTCAAAAGGACGATTATGTAACATCCGATTGGAGTGCTTCAAGATTTGTTTTACATTTTCTGTGTTTGATTGGATATTGATTCTAAATATTGATAGGGTGGAAGGATCAACATGGATGCTCAATTAGACAACTTTGCAAACACTAGACAGGACATAATCACAAGAATAGGAGAGCCGGCGAGCCGGCGGCAATAAAGTTGATTGAGAATTCACTCTTCTTAGTAACGAATCAAATGACTTCATCAACAATTATCTTACACCTGTTCTCTCTACACCGTCCTTTTGTCTTTTTGTTTTCTTGAGCCGAGGGTCTTTCGGAAATATCCTCTCTACTCCTTCGGGGTAGGGGTAAGGTCTGCGTACACACTACCCTCCCCAGACCCCATTAGTGAAATATTACTGGGTTGTTGTTATTGTTGTTCTCTCCACACCAGAGCAACTAAATGTACCTCCTATGAAATTTGTGGGAGCAGTGATATCCAAATACAGAATTCAACTAACGGTAAATTGTGAAATTATTAAAGTTGACTACTACAAGTGCTAAAGCTGACTACTAATGATTTTTGTTCAAAACCATATGCAGAGACTTTATAGTTTGGGTGCCAGGAAAGTAATAGTGGTGAATGTTGGGCCTATTGGGTGTATCCCCTACCAAAGGGCTATAAATCCATCGGCTGGAGATAACTGCGTAAATTTCCCAAATGGGCTTGCGCAATTATACAACACCCAATTGAGAGGGCTTGTGAGTGAACTCAGTTCCAAACTTACTGGATCAAAGTTTGTCTATGCAGATGCCTACGGAATAGTCCAAGACATCATTCAGAATTATTCATCTTATGGTGAGTTCTACTATCAAAGATTAATTAGAAACCCCTATGTTTTATCGTGTCTTCCATAATATGTGGATCGTGAAATCAGGCCTGCCCTAGGTAAAACACCTACTCGCACCAAGTGAATGAACTTAAAGTTGAAGTAGTGTTCTAGCATAGGGCATGAGGTGAACACTAGCTCATTTATTAGTTTTGGTGCAGCACGTAACCCCAACTAGGCCGAAGTGGTTTAATAAAACAAAGGAATAGTTTTAGCCAAACTCTAGCCCCATTTCTCTGGACATATCAAGAAATTAGGTCAACTTTTCAAGATTCAGGTAATATAATTTGATGGGGGATATTGTTATATGCAGGATTTGAGAATGCAAATTCAGCTTGCTGTTCTGGTGGTGGAAGATTTGGGGAAATAATTCCATGTGGTCCTTCATCTAAAATATGTGCAAATAGAAGCAAGTATGTGTTCTGTGATCCATACCATCCAACTGATGCAGCTAATATCATCATAGCAAAACGCCTACTGGACGGAAACTCTCCTGATATTTGGCCTATGAATGTCAGGCAGCTCTTTGCATCCTCCTAATTTCAAAATGCCTACGTTATTTTGTTTCTTTATCTTCATAGGGAATTAAACATTTATACAGAGGAAAATTCTTCATGCACTTTCCTTGTCTACTGCCAAATAAGTAGTGAATGAAATTATTTATGATTTTTCTCTTACATAACTTTTGTATTCTGCTTTCACATAGTACTCGTATATACTAACTAGTAAATTTTTTCGCGCTTTGCGCGGTTATAAGAAATAATAGTAAATTTACGAAACGACCTTCTTGCAAAAATCTTTAGATAGAAAAGTTTTGCAAATAGAAAAGATAAACTACAACTTTTGTATATGTCTCTAAAAATTGTATATGCTTATTTCTAAAGTATTCTATGATGTTTAGCATATTTTGAAAAAAATAACAAAAAAGATATGTGATATACTAAGAAACCAAAAGTACGAAACAAATAAATCTGGCCATTCCTCTTTTCTTCGCAATATTTTTCATTTTTTCCTTTTCATTTTCTTTAAAATAAAATCATATTAACTTGAAACCTAGCAAAATGTACAGCTACAGCTACACCGTTAATTCTCCGATAACGGCGCCAAAATTTGATCACGCCCATCTATGCCTCCTAAAAGGTCTAGCGGTCGTTGCAAATATAATCCGGTTTACAAGTCCGGAGTCGAATACCACAGAGAACTAAGACTTAGCTACAACTGTTCAGTATTGCTAGAAATACAAGTTCAAATAATTTTCTAGTTATAAAGATTGTAATTTTTATTTTAAACTAATTAATTAACAAATACTAAAAGTAAAATTATCAACTAACAAGACTAAGGGTTAGTGACAATATTAATGAGGTCTAGAGTTATGATTTTCCCAATTGTCGGAATCCTTCCCGCTACGCCTTCTATAATTTCGCCTAAGTATTCTCTACCATCGTGAGTACTTCAGGTGTTGTAATTCTATTTTGAGCAACTACCACAATTTACTAGACATATTCTTCCGAACTACGCTAGCTGACACTAATTCACCGCTCACTAAGATCGCACCAAAGTTTCGTTATTCCTAATCCCACCTTTAAACTCTCTGTATTGATTTCCCACATACGTTAGGAGTGATGTTGTTCAACAACTACCTAAATATGTATCCTTTTTCAAACAATACACACTAAATAGGAACATCCAATTGTGGGCCCTTCAAATTAACTAAGATAATCACGTAGTTGAACAAGAAAAGAAAATCCAATGGCAAAATCATATTAAACGCAAGAGAAAATCATCCTTCAAAAGGTTCCATCAAACCCTACATAAAAGAGTTTAGCTACTCATAACCATATTAATAATCATGATAATAATTGAAAGCATTAAAATATAGATTAAGAAAGAATGGAAGAGAAAACTCTTGTGATTCGTTGCTTCCAAATGTTCTCGTAACCTTCTTGTCTCTCCAATAATGTCCCCCCCAAAACGTCCTCCTTTTTGGTCGGATCTGATCTAAAAAACGTTCGTGCCTCTTAGATATGTTTAAGGAGTATTTATAGGCTAGGGTTGAAGTCCTTGAGTCCAAATCCGGATTGGAGACTTTTAACCCGCGACATTTAATTACCGGGCTATAGACCTCGCGAAGCCAGGCTTATAGCGCGGTCAACCTGGTTATAGACCTCGTGAAGCCTGATTTGTAGCGTGGTCAAGCTGGCTATAGACCTCATGAAGCCTGGCCTGTAGCGCGGTCAAGCTGGCTATAGAGCTAGCTTTACTTGGTCTGTAGCACAGTTTGGATACTTGGCATTTTTGTGCTATTTTCTTGCATTTTTCGTCATCTTTTTGTGCAACCTTCACTCGTCTTTGTCTTCTGATGTTCCTACACAATAAACAACACAATTTAGCTCAAATGTCGCACAACTAATCACTAAACTAACAAAATATAGGGCGAGTAATGTACTAAAAGTATAGCATTTTGGCCTAACATCACCACCCCACACTTAAACGTTGCTTGTCCTCGAGTCAACCACCAATTCCTAGAGCACCTTACTTTCTTTTAGCACATCCGAAATACATCATACGTATGGCTATGGTTGATAGCAATAATTAAACTTTAGTATATGCCTTCAATACACACTTCCTTTACTTTATGCCATACTTCAAAAATTTATTCAACACAAGGGAACATGTTTATAACAATCCTAGTCTCACAAACCGATTCAGTATCACAATGCATTCATGGCTTGAACACTTAACATCATAAAGAAATCTAATAATGTCACATATCTCTCGCGAAATCATGTGCCCTCACATCAAGAACAAAAGATTAAGTCGAATTCACACACTCAAATCAAATGTTCAAATATATTTTAAGGACTCAGATAAATCAAAGAAATTCCTCACTCTCACAAAGAAGTCACATGCATGCACAGAGTACCACATGCTTGCCCATTATGTAAACCTCTACTAATGTAGGCTTGCTCGATCTAAAATCAATTAGGACTTTTTATGGTTGTAATGTGGGCTAAAGGACGGGTAGGATAAATTTAGGAATAATGACTAACCCTCCTATACACTTTAACACATCACAAAATTAACTTAGCGTATTTTTCTTCAACCCAACTGCAATTTCACAAACAATGTCATCCCAAGAGCTTTCCCTTTTTTTCTTTAAGCACTACTTTACTTCACACCTACTAGCAAGGATAATATATCAATTTATTCATCTACATATATTTTTTTTTTCCTTTTTTTTTTTTGAAATTGTTCTCTCCTTTGCGACTTCCGTTGTTAGTGTATTCTTTTGCGAAACACGTGCTCCTTTTCTCTTTCATTGGTTCCACTCAAAAGCCACCCAAGTTCCCTCCTTACTTCTTCTAGCGCTCATTTTACAATTAAAGTACTTTAAGAGGTACAATGATCAAAACAATGACAATTAAGAACAAAGGGTATAGGCTTGTAATGTGGTTGCCAAATAAAAGTTTATAGGCTCAAAAGGTTGACTAGGGATAATTTTTATTTGTGGTAAGCATTAAGCTCAAGAAGATCAAATAAAGCCTAAAATTATTTTTCAAACCGAGCAAAACCTAAAATTTTGCTTCAACTCACATGCCGGGCAAGTTCTAGGCTCTAATGCAATGGCATGGACTACACAAGAAGATCTCACCACACATGGCATATGACTCACTAAGGACGGTTCCATTTCGATTCTCAAACAATTTCAAGTATTCACGAAGCCACAAAATATTAAGCATCAAGCACAAAGTGACACAAGCCGAGAAAACGAGATATATGCGTCAATACACATGTTATCTACTCAACAAGGTATCATAAGCATTTTCAAACCATAGGGAATGTACTACACATGCCAGAGCTTAAATATGCTACTATCAAACTAGTCAAAGGCGCCTAGCAAATCTCATTCTTCCCATCCTTTTATTTCCTAAATTTTACTCTACTCTAAAGATAAAAAAACTACTACCCGATTCAACTACATCCCGTGAAAAAGAACCGAGGCACAAAGAAAAACCACGAGGTATTATTACTACCTAAAAGAATAAAAAGACATATTTTTGGATATTTCTATTTTTTCAATTTTTTTGTGTGTTTTTGGTTAGACTTTAAACCCTCAAGAAAATTGTCTAGGATATCCATGGTCAGGAAAATTCCAATCTTTTTCTATTTTTCTAAAAAAGCATTATTCAATTAAACTAATACAGCTAAAATAGCATAGAAAGTCACCCAGACAATCTCCTCACCCCACGCTTAAAATTGTGTATTTTTCCCAATGTGCACCATACTAATAAGAGGGTAAAAGAATCTCCCTGGTAGGCCAAAGGCCAAAGCACTAGCAACTCATGAGGTACTCAGACTTCTCCCAGGCCTGGTCTTTTGTGCGGGTACCTCATACTTAGTTCCAACCATCTGGTTTGTTGTTGCATCCTTCCAATAGCTTTGCTTTCCATGCTCCTACAAAATCAAAAATTGACACTACAAAAATAATATAATGAAAAAAATAAAAAATAAAATAAAAGAAAGCAATAAATCTGGGTTGCCTCCCAACAAGCGCTTAATTTAACGTCGCGGCACGACGTGAATCACTTTCTGCTCCACTTGGAACTTATGAATTGGATTCCAAGTTTTGATTCTGTTCTATGATCATGCTNGGGGGGGGGGGGGATACAAATTGTTGCGAGCCAAAAATGAAATGATTCTTTATGCACGTTTTGGCTTTCAACCGAGGAGTGTCACTTTGCCTAGAAGGCCTTGAAAATTTCAGAATATAGAGCTCATCTACCTCTTCCTTTGTCTCTTGCATTGGCTCATACAGATCAATTTCCATTTCACCATCTGAACATAATGTAGAGAAGTGTTTGGAATGAGGCCCAACGTGCTCAAATACATGAACTTCAAGATTTTCAACCTCCTCAACACCAATCACACTAGAGTCATCTAAATTTGTATCTTCAACGTCCCTGGTTGACTCTAGCATTACTTCTTCAACATCGGCATCCTCAAATTCTAGTTGGTTAGATTGTTGGTGTTCTACTGTGACCTCCTCCATTAGAACCTCAATTTTGGTATCTAATTCATGCTCTTTTTGGCTACTATCCACAATATTGGCTTGTTGAGCATTAAATGCTTCAACTAGTTGACTCATTTGTGCCTCCAGGTTGCGAATAGTAGGATCTTGCCTTTATATGTGCAGTTGTTTCTCATTATTTTGTTCCACAAGGCACCTTAGCATATCCTTGATCTCTTT